GAAATTTTTCCAATGCACTGAGGTGTAAGACCCACGACCTGTATCGGCAGAGAAAGGAAGACAACTACCAAGATCCTCGACCCAAGTGAGGTAAAGCCCAAAAAAAAATTCACAAGTAAAAGCCAATATCAACACCATCTAGCTCCAGACCTGAATAAACTCCCACAGGTGACTCACGGCCAAGGCAAAATAAGGCCAATATAAAAGAGAGAGACCCACGGTTAGGACTTAAAGAAGGGAGGAACTCATGGCCACGACAAACAAGGCAACCCAAACCAACTCTAAAGCATTATAAGCAAGGCTCACAACCAAGACCAAAGCCAAGACACGAGGCGACGGGAAAGGGAAGACTCAACGCTCATCCAAGCAGTTTATGCCCGAACAAGAGAAGCTAAAGCCAGGTCCTTAAAGTTCCAATGAGAAGCTTAAATGTGTTAAGATAATACTTTTAACCAAAGCAAAAGCCAAGCTTCAATAAACTGAACACCCAAATCTTCCGAAAATAAGGAACCGAGCCACCAAAGCAAAAAAAAAGTCAAGCTTCAATAAACCGAACACCCAAATCTTCCCAAAATAAGGAACCGAGCCAGGAAGAACCCCCAACAGGCAAGAACCGAGATTCAACACAAAACCAAAGCCAAACCAAGTTTTTCACCAAATTCCAGACTAGTTAAAGACCAAACCGAGCCAAGCAATAAACCGAGCCAAGCAAGGCCAAACCACGAACCTAGCAAGGGTCGAAAAAGTCCAACTGCAATTGAGATTTAAAAGTTAGGCCACAATGAGAGTTAGAAAAATATCCCCATGCCTTTAAGGTATTCAACCTAGAACTACCACATGCTTTTAGTGAAAGTGAATGAAAGTTTCACAATACATATACTAACATGCTCATGAGAGGGGCCAAATTATTTCAAGGTCATCCTTTTAATTGTTTCTAATATAAATATGCCTCAGAAAGTAGGAAACATGCCATGACTTCAGCACTTTAGATAAGCAAAGTAAAAGAAAGAATTAATAGCATGCCACAGTGCTTAACCAAATCTAATTTCTAGCACCACACCACAAGATCATCATCAGAGGCTCGGCAAGGGCATAACCGAAAGAGTCAGTAAAGCATAGAGAAAGGGAGGGAGAAGGAAACACACACCCTCAAGCTTTTAAATGTCATTCCCACATAACAAACGTATAAAGAATAAGTTAGAACATGTTTAGGAATGAGGCAAATAGTACTCTTCCTATTCTAGCATGCTAACGGGGCTCGGCAGAGAGCAGAGACGAACACAAATAAAGTGTAGGGGCTCGGTAAAGAGCAGGGCCGAACACAGGCAACACACAGGGAGAGAGGGAAGTACCTCTTTAAAGTAGAATCACAAAAAGAGTAGCAAAAAAGTATTCCCTAGCCAACACCTCTCTCCGGCAACAAGGAGAGTTCAAAAAAACTTAAGAGAGTGAGTAGAGAAGAGTAATAGAGAAAGGTCCTCCCCTGAAAATGATTTTCGGCCCTTTGAAGCTTCACAGAGGAGTTCTGGTATACGCTAAAGGAAGAAGAAGACGAATGATTGAAAAAAATCCCGCAGAGATAGAGCGCAGAGGCGCACAATACTGTTTGCGGCTCAAAGAGCCAGCAAATGATGAGGAGGAATGGGCGACTGCGAGAGAGGGGAGCGCGGGAACCTTCATTCCAATGGCTCGAGTTCGTGGGGTCACGCGAGGGACCACGGCGACTAGAGCAGAGACGCGAGAGGGACGGACGCACGAGCGAGAGACGGAAAACGGGAGATGGGAAATGAAATTAGGGTAGGTTTATCAGTTTTATTTATAATAATAAAATATTATTTATTATTATAAATAATACTTAAACACATCTCCTCCTCCAGAAATGCCCTCGCGACAAAACAAACGTCTCTCCTAAGACAAATCGATGTTCCGGACGCGTCGGCGCAATTCGTTTCGTCATCCAGAGTCATCTGGCCAGCCTCGTCGTCGATTGGGCTAAAAATGCGTCGCGGTCCAAATTCTATCAAGATTTCAGCTCGAATTCGATTAAATAGGACGGCGAAGAGCGCAGTGGCGCCAAATCAACGAGTAGAGTCAATCCTAAGGCTGTCAGTCTTATAGGAGTGCTCCCTGAGTTCCTTTATAGAAATGCTCCATGAGTTCCTTCGGAGCAGTCTTACCTGCTAAGCAATAGCGGTCAAGACTACTACATAGAACGTCAAGTCGAGCGAACAAAAGTCCAGAATTGCTAACGGGGAGGGCTCCTTCACTAGTTTTCTAGGAGCAGTCGACAGAAAGGTCCTACGGCTAGATCCTAGGCAACTAAGGAGGGGAAAACTACACCTCGACCGAAAGCGAGGTCAACAGCAAATAACAAGTTTATTATTATTATTATTTTGTTAAATCAACCCGGTTAATAAGACTGCTACCCGCCTAAAAGATGAACCAACAAATTGTGCGTGCGGGTCTTATTAACCGGGTCTTATTAACAAATTGTTGGCTTTGTTGGAATTTGATAAAAGTGCAATTTAAGGGTTGTGTTTAGTACGCGCCATGATCAAATAATTGGGAATTTGATAAAAGTGCAATTTAAGGGTTGTGTTTTTGTTATGAAGATAGAAAATTGTTGGCTTTGTAAATAACCAAGATTTAAATGGTAAGCATTCGTTGGAAAAAGGTTACAAACTATACAACGACAACAACAACAACAACAACAAAGCCTTAATCCCACTACGTGGGGTCGGCTACATTAATCATTTTTTTCCATTGCGTCCTATTTAGAAAAAAGGTTACAAACTATATTCAAAATATTTTCCTTTAACATATGAGGCATTGTGCTATATATGTGATCTGGCTTTAAGTGCAAATAGCCCTATTTTGAGACAAGTTTATGCATCTCTTTCAAAATAAAATTTGAATGGCTTTGTAAATTGCCTCAATATGGGCTAAGTTCAAAAATATTTCGAGCTGACTACTGACACTGAGTAGAAATAATTTCACTCAAAACTCACTTATACTCGCCTCAATATTACTCCTAACAGTAAATAATTATTTTCTTGATAATCAAGAAAAATGTCAATCACACATTGTTAACAACTCAAATCATAAGAATTATACCTGAATTTCAAACACATGCATCCCTATATTAAACAATGTGCAATGTTTATAATTGCACAATTGCTTGTTATTTCTCTAATAAATTTGAACCGGGCAAATTAAACAAAGAAGGCATTCCAGACACCTTTAACAGGAGGAAGCAAAAATAAAATGCCTATAATTATTCAGAACGTCATAGGAAAATGACATGGAGGAGGCAGAAAATAAAATTACTATAAGCTTAAATAACTAGGAACATTTGAATAAAAAAAAAATATGTTAGCATTTTGTAAATAATAAATTGCTGAAATACACTTAATACAGGGAAAAGGAACAATGTCAACTAAAAAATTGCCTTGGGTGTAACAGAGCTATTAGACAAGGCTCTTGGACTCTCGTCTCTCAATAAGCTTCCATCATCTTTTCTGGCCTCCAAACTTCTTCGTAATGAATCGTTTTGTAGATGCAGTTCATGAAGTTGTTCCTGTCAAAGTTCAACTAAATATTAGCAAATCATGACTAAAGCAACACTTAAAGCATTTGTCCTCTAATAAAATCCAAGAAATTAAAACCACAAAAGAAAATCGATAACTTATATCAATGTTTAAAATTGCGCAATTGTGTCTTAAGGCCCTTTTCTTCATGATGCAAAGCGTAAGCCTAAAGAAATTTTCAGACGTAAACCTCAAATTTAAAAAATTATGTAAATTAATAATATTATATGAACTATAAAATATAAAGTACGAAATAATATATTAATATTCAAATTTATTAACATATTAAAAAGCAATATAATAAAATTCTAAATAATAAATTATGTAAAATTATAAGTAACATGTTAAGATCCTAACATCAAATTATGAAATCAAATGATTTATATAAACATTGAAGTATCAAAGTAAGCTAAGATTTTAAAATAAAATACGAAAATATCAAAATCTAACAATCAAAATAAATTCAACATTAATTTTTCTCTCTCACACATATTATTCCCACTTGAACAAAAATATAATATTTCATCAACATTTGAATTTTTTATTTTAAGGTCTCTATTTCTCTTATTTCATAATCGATTTTCATTAGAATCATCAGCATAATAAATAGTTTATCTCACGTCTTATCCTAAATCGTATCCATAGTCTCTCATTCCTTATTATCTTTAATCCGAGAGTTTTTTTTATTTTTTAATGAATAATAACCAACAAAAATATTAATTAAAATAATAATTATGTTTGTAATTAGAATTTCAAATATATATAATTTTTATGGATACATTTTTCTTTTAGTTCTTGTTACTTGTGTGTAAGGTTAATAGATGAGGTATATTGATATTACTTTTAGTTTTGTTTAAAAAGATTATGAATAGCCTCAAAAATTTAAGACAACCTTTTAGGCAATGTGTGCCTTGAGTGCATCTCAATCTGGGTTATGAGAATGAGGCGTATGCCTTATTGTGATTATTTTTTTAAAAAACATGAGCAGGCCACAAGGCATCCCTCATATTGCGCAATTTTAAACAAGGACATATATTAAAGTTAAACCCTTATGAAAAAAATAGTTTTTATAAACGACTATTTTTCTGGGATAGAGAAAGGAAGAAAAAAAAATGATGCTGAACATTTAGAAACATATAATTTCTAGGTCTAATACAGCAGCATGTCCCCTATCTACCACAATCTAATACAAAGAAAAGTTGATTAACTAGGCAGCAACTTTTAGTGCAGTACTAAAATTAGAACAATCATACTGTGAAATTTATGTTCAATAAATTCGTATGCTATCAAAATAATATTTATATAGAAGGATCTATCAATAACTTGTACAAGAAGGAATATATTTAGAGAGTACTCTAGCAAGGAAAAGGGAAGGCTAAAATTGATAGTTATGCTATCAAAATAATCTTTATATAGAAGGATCTATCAATAACTTGCACAAGAAGGAATATATTTAGAGAGCACTCTAGCAAGGAAAAGGGAAGGCTAAAATTGATAGAGAAGCAATTAAGTTTCTTAATGTTTCTTCTAATAATATGGAAAAGCTTCCTCGATAACTATATTATCAGGTTTACAAATGTTTGAGCCAGATTGAAGAGGGCTTGAAAAGTTCTATGTATAACATTTTCACTATAATGGCACTATAGCTATCTAAAAAGTTTGTTGTTCACGAAAAGCTCGTGCTAGACTGATTAAATAGATCGTGTTCAAATAGTTCATTAAGTGAGTTAAACACGAACAAATTTTTTAAGCTCAAGTTATAAATGAGCTGAGCACGAACAACCATTTATTTGATCGTGATGGGTTGGTTTTAGCTTGAAATAAGGAAATAATATTATTATTTATAGAATAATATATTATATATATTTACATCTATGTTTAAATCATCGCAGCTCATGTGATCATGTGATTTTGCGCTTTATTGGACATGAATGGTGCAGGTTCGAATCTATGAGCTAAACACGAAAAAGAATATGTAAATCGAGTCAAATATGAACGCACTGTTCACGAGCTAATTCAAACATAAGCCAATTTTGAATAGAGTTAATTTCAAACGAGCCAAACACAAGCCAACTCTGTCCTCACTCAAGCTCGGCCCGTTTATGGCCCTAAATAGTACATGAGACTTACAAATACAATATAAAGACAATATAAAACTAGAATCAATCTAAAAAAAATAAAAGGAAAATATCAAATTGCATGTAAATCACAAACTATCATAATTACTAAGTCAATGTTTTAAGAGCTACTTAAACAACAAAAAGTTATCTTAAACTCTCTCAATCATATCAATAGTCTCAATTAAGTTTTTTCTATTGGAACTTATCCAAGTTTACACTAACACATGTCAAGCAAAAAAGGTTCATCGTCTGATATGGGATCATTTTAACCCCTTCCATCTGATGTGTTCAATTTAACCCCTTAGCTACTCAAACATGATCCAAAACAGTTATCATATTAAATTATTTTTTATTATCTTGAATTATAGTTGAGAAGTAAAAGAACTATTTTTTATTAGATTTGTGGATTCAGAGACTAAACCAGACACATTGGATGGTCTAGAACGAAAATGGCTCCCATAGATAACACAAGGACTATTTTGACATCTTTCACTATGTCAAGCACAATTAAGTTCAAATAATAAATAAATAAATAAAAAATCATGTAACTTCCCAACAAAGTTAGTGTCCTACACAACAAGAACCCCAATTTCAATTCAGCATATGTAAATTCTTTTAGGAGGTTTGAACATGTGCATTCACTTAAAATTATAAAGTGCACTTACATATTAATATTTACTAAAGTAATATTTGCAATCTATTGTTTATGGATAGTTCTAATCTTATTATTTATCATGAATCGTGATTGATTTAAAAATTTCTATCATGGTTGTGATAAAAATGATGCTTTAATTGTTGATATACCCTGCCCAACACATGATTTTTTTCTATAGGTAACAAAATTATTGTTTACTAAGTTATGTTATGTTCTATCCGTGTCCACGCATCATGGAAAAATAATAGAGTGCACTCATTTCAAAGCATAGATAAAACTTGGGATAAGGTATGTTTCTTGTTGCCATATAAGTGCTTCCAACAAGACATAAAAATAACTAAATCCTAAAATAGAAAATGCCCAATTTCATTTCATTTTATTGTAAAATGCCAAGTCCTAGAGCGTACCTACAGTCAGGTCATACTAGCCTACGCTACTTTATTTGCACATTCATTCCAAGCAGGAAAAATAAAGAAAATTCAAATAGCAGCCTAAAAATAATGCTCCACTCAAGTAAACATAACTATTAAAATGACTAAACTAGATTTTTTTCAGGAAAGTCTGTATAAGCTTCTATGAAATGGTGTGAATAAAAATTTGAGAGGCTTATCAGCCTAAACTATTCCCAAAAAGCGTTAGTTGCAGCATCGACAACTTATTTTCAAATAAAGTGTTCCTCTAACATCAATAAACTAAGATTCTAAGTTCTCAAAGAACATTATAGCAATGCAATATTATATTTACCATAACTGCTGAGCAAACTCCAGAAATAAGACGAAAACAACTTCTTTGAATACAGTACGTAAAAAATGTAACTATCATACCTCTTTCTCTTTTAACAAAGCAGCATAATTAAATGATAATGCTTTAATTTCAGACTCAGATGCCAGCAGCTTCTGAATATCAGTCTTGTATCTTGCAATCTACAGCATTTAAAAAAAAAAAGACTGGCATAAAATAATGGCACAGAATTAAGCAACTGCTTTGAACTTAATCCATAGATGCTTCTTAAGGAAAATCACTTGGAATGATTGACGGTGAAATTGATGGTTAAAAAGCATGAGACAAATTATGACTTTCATTTTGAAAAATGAAATAGAAATCAACATGAAATCATGGAGAAATACCAGATTTTTAAGATTGACTCGTCTCCTGTTATGCACTTGCTCAATATGCAAGCTGGGACAAAAGATAAATAAGCTCCATAAAATTGTATATTCTCCCATTTTGAGATTTTATCAATGATGTAGAAAATTTTTCTCTCTCTCACACACACATATCTGTATACATGTATATACATATTTGTATGGATGTATATACATATCTGTATATATCTACATATGTGTACATGTAGGTTATCTTGCATTAATTGAGAAAGCCAGATAATCGACTCAGAGATATGCATCCAATGTTAACCTATATGTCAACTTTGAAGAATAGTTAACTAACATATTTAGGTGCACGAATATTCTCACTTATTCTCATGCATTAAGCTCACAAATATTCCATTAACAGCCAGTTTTATGCTCCTATTCATTAGAAGGTAAAAGTTTTTTCTATATCCTTAGAAGTTCATCTTATGATTCAAATTATTACAACCTTTACGCTTATCTGATTAAATTCAGAATATAAATATAAATGTTATTTAAGATCCCATAACTAAAGATAAATGTTATAGAAAGCTAAAATAGTATTCGAAATAATTTTTCTGTCCTAATTTGTGCATTATCAGATTTTTTTTGGGAAAAAAAAATGATAACCATTATTAAATAGGATCATCGAGAAAAAATGTGATATGCTCTGGCACCAAAATCATCAGCCAACAACGATGAAAGTGTAATAGATTAATCGAAATAATTCAAAAAAGGGTTGTTCTTACGAAGCATAAATGAAACCAAGCAAGAAAAAAGGGTGATCTACAATTCGAGAGGTAGATCGGCTCTCCCACAACCCTAGATGTCGCTAGGAACACCACAAGAAGAAGAAAAACACAGAAGCCAATAAAACATGCATAAAAAAACAAAACCTAGGTTCCTCCTCTTAATAGAATCCTCCCACAGCATCTAAAACCTTTCCTTCCAAATTTTCCTCCCCTAATTTCCTAGTGAACTCCACCTGCGGCCCGCCTTGATCGCTCTGCCTCTTCACACCGCAAAGATTGGCCCGTCTGTGAGGCGGCTGGGTTGCTTTCAGCAGGTCCAAAATGAACCGGCTCGATTCTAGGCGTAACACTACTCCCCTCCCAAAAAAATACCTTGTCCTCAAAGTGGAATGATGGAAACTACTTGTGTATCACCTCGTAAGACTCATATTGTTTCATAGTCTGGCAACATTTCCACTTAATAAATACCTCCTTTGCTCCCCCTACTCCTCAGTGCACTCGTTCAATCTCAAATAGCTCCAGAATCACCTCCAAGTCCTCCGTCAGGAACAACATGAGTGTAGATGAGAGTGTATGATATCCAATCGCACATCTCAGCTGTGACACATGGAAGACTGGGTATAGTGCGGACGACAGTGGTAACCTCAAACGATAAGTCACTGCCTCGATGTGTGTCATCACCATATATGGTTCAAAATATCGCGGTGAAAGTTTCTCGCTCCTCCTCCTGACCAACAACTTTTGTCGGTAGGACATCAGCTTTAAGTAGACAATGTCTCCTGGTTCAAACTGCACCTCTCTTGTGTTCATTATCTTTTCTCTTCATGATTTATTGAGTTCTCAGTAAATGCCCCTTGAGCTATGGTAAAGTCATGTCCCACTCCTCCGAGTACTAATCGACGCTGGATACCGGTGTAGCGCTACACTCATAATATATAAAGTAAGGTGGATCCCGCTCATACAATATCTTAAAAGGGGTGGTCTATGCTGCGATGCGATACAAAGTATTATACCAACACTTGTCCCACGCAATACACTTGGCCCATAGTTTCAGCGTATCAGATACAAAACAACGCAGGTATATGTCTCCACACTCCTGTTGACCACCTCCGTCTGCCCATCAGTTTGGGAATGATATGTGGTGCTCCTCTTAAGAATTGTCCATTGCAACCTAAATAGCTCTTTCCAGAAGTAGTTGAAGAACACCTTGTCCCTATCAGATACTATTAAGCCACACTCTTGTTGACACCTCCGTTTGTTCATCGATTTGGGAATGATAAGCGATGCTCCTCATATGGATTGTCCATTGCAACCCGAATAGCTCTTTCCAGAAGTTGTTGAGGAACACATTGCCCCTCTCAGATACTATCGATTCCGGCACTCCGTGCAAACAAATCACCTCCCGGATAAACACGGTCGCGACTGAGACCAAAGAGTAGGGATCTCGTAAGGGAATGAAACGTGCATACTTACTCAAACGATAGTAGGGATGTTGTAAGGGAATGAAACGTGCATACTTACTCAAACGATCAACGGACACCATGATCATTGCGAACCCTTCTGACCATGACAAACCCTCAATAAAATCCATCGTCACTTCTTCCCAAACCTTCTCATAGTACTAATGGTTATAGTAAACCTCCTGGTGTCGTGAACAAATACTTGTGTCGCTGACATACATCGCATTTTTCCACCATATACTCAACGTCTATGCATCCCCACCAAATAAAGATTTGCCACTAGACGACTATAAGTCTTATGTACCCCTGATTGTCTCTCAATTGCACTGTCATGAAACTACTGTAATAATCTTATAATAGATTATGACACCTTGGGTAGCACAAATCGCCCATCGAGGAGCAGTTGTTGCCCCCTCAACGCATATCCTGCATGATTGTTCGGATCCTGTAGTAACTTAGCCCTTATCTTCCTCAGCTTCTCATCCTGCTTACTTTCCTGTCACAAGGCTTCTCAATCTATGAACAAGGGTACCAATAAGCCTGTCAATAGGGTTCTTCCACCTTTCTCGACAATGTGCCAGCTACCTTGTTCTTCGATCCTGGCCGATATTGAATCTTGAAATCATACTCCTAGCTTGGATAGCCATCTCAGATGCTCCTCGGTCACCATTCGTTGTTCCAAAAAAATACTTTAAACTCCTATGATCTGCCCGGACCAGAAAACATCGATCCAGCATGTAGGGTTGCCACTTCTGAATGGCCAAGACAATCGCCATCAACTCTCGTTCAAATATTGACTTTAGCCTCGCTCTCATTGTAAGAACCTGACTGAAGTAGGCAATCGATCGTTGATACTGCATGAGCATTGCTTTCAATTTGTACCTGACACATCCGTTTCCACCACAAAATGTTTTCTGAAATCTGGAAGTGTTAATATCAGGACGCTAGTCATGGCCTTCTTCAGATGCTCAAATGTTTGTGTTGTTGCTTCCCCGCATTTGAAATTGTCTTTTTTCAACTGCTCCGTTAGCGGCATGTTATTATGTCATACCCTCTCACGAACTTCTGGTAGTGTCCGATGAGACTTAGGAATAATATGAACTCCTTCAAACTCTTTGGTAAGGGCCAATCAACCATGGCCTCGATTTAGGACTGATTCACCGCTACTCTTGTTTTGATCACCACATGTCCTAGGTACTCATGTACAACAGTGCAAAAGAACATTTCTTCAAGTTGGCATACAGTTGGTACTCCCTCAACATCTCCAGGACTGTCATCAGGTGCTCCGCATACTTTGTTTTTGTACAACTGTAGACCAGAATATCATAAAAAATCAGGATAAATTTCTAGAGGTAAGGTTTAAAAACCCTATTCATGAGGAACTAAAATGTCGCCCGAGCATTGGTGAGGTCAAACGACATCACTAAGAACTCATAATGTCTTTCTTATGTCCTGAACGCTATCTTGTGCACATCTAATGGATTCATTCTGATTTGATGGTATCCAGACTTAAGATCAATTTTTTGAGAAAATAACTACTCCATAAAGCTCATCCAAGAACTCATCAATTACAGGAATATGAAACTTATCTAACACTGTCACCTCCATGCAGAATCTCCAATGACCAGCTTTTCCAGTCCAATCCATTTTTCCTTCACCAACAGAACTAGACTGGAAAAAAGGCTCGCGTTAGGTCTAAAGATCTCAGCCTTGAGCATCTCTCAGATCAGCTTCTATATCTCATATTTCTGAATCTGGGGTTACCTGTATGGTCAAACACTGATAAGGGAAACACAACCTTTAATGTAATTGCGTGCTCATGATCTCTCGGGGAGCTAACCCATTCGGTTGTTAGAAGACATCCGTAAATTGTTGTAGGAGCTATTGGACCCCTTCAGGAAACTCTACCAACTATGAATCTTAAATCTCCTCAATGTTCTGTAACTCCACTAAGTAGCCCAACTCTGCTCCTTGAATCAACTTGACCATGTTTTTTAGTGACACCATAGTTTTGCACAAGCTAGCATGTCC